AACTTTTTGACTGGGGGGGCGCCGCCTTGAGTGGAACGGGACGGAACCAAGAAACAAGAACTGAGAATTCCACTTTGAACAAACAAAACAATGAACTCAAATGATACGAACATGCAAAAATAGGAGTTCAACATAGTTTAATCATCAATGCACCTGGGCATTCACAAACAACAACAGGGTTCAACAGTTCAACACTTGATATCAAACATGGAGATGATCTTCGGGTGATGGCACATACCCCACTTGATGAAGCACACCCACATTACTCACATCACTTTACGAAGTAGCCAAATTTGGGTTGTACTTTCCCATTTAGACTGGGAATGAAGTTGTTTGGGGCAAACGCGGCTTTGAAGCAAGAGAACTGACATATGCCAAAGTGATGACCAAACCGGAATAAACCGGACCAAACCTCTAAATGATCCAAATATAGCTACATGATGTTGTTGAATACCTTCAAGTGGTCAAAATAAGCTGGCAAGTAGACCATCGCAATTTCTAGTGAAGGCATTAACTAAATAAGTACCAATGCGAGATTTTGAGTGAGCAAGGTTAGATGAGCAATGAGCAAGGTTAATGCCAGTCCCCCGGGTTGATGCTGACCCCTTATTGACTGAATTAAAGCAATCACTTTCGGGGTGAGGCCCCCCAAGCATCAGCCAGTTTCCTAACCCAGGGTTGGCACTGCAGTGCCCAAAGTGGATGCAACGTGCCTAAAATATGCAAGGTCCACAGTAGCAACTTGAAGGAATGTCCTATTTCTTCAAGTTCCAAATTTTGCAGTGCCCTGGTGGCGATTCAAGCCTCCAGTGCCTCTAATTTGGCGGAATGGAAATTGCCAGCCCCTAAATCAAGTTATATTCTGTTCAAATATGATTTTCACAATGGGATTTCCACAGATTGCTGGAAGATACTGGAAGGCATGGTACCAAGTTTACATGTACCTAACCCTTCACAAAGCCTGAATTCCAGGAAATATCTCCACAAAAACTTGCGCTGAAACATGCGACGGGATCGCTCACTTTGCATCGCTGGCTGAAACAAACCTACTGTGGTGCTTCCTATGGCTTTACCTCCAAAATGTGTGTGTGTGTGACATTCCGGCGTGGATAGTTAAGTCCCTCCCACCAAACCTCAAGAATTCAGGTGCTACATTCTCAAATCACAAAAAGGTGAATGCCTATAGAGAAGCTGATTCGGCCTGCAGCCAAGTGTCTGGATGCGAATCTGTTCTTCTGGGCTGTTGACGACATTGTCGCTGCGTCTCCGTCCTATGGTTTTCAAGGCACAGGGAAGGGTCTATGAATCAAGTTGGAAACGTCATAACAGTCGTTTGGTAGGATGGAAAGCCCAAACGCAGTTGAAACCTTCATTCATTTTTCTGGGCCAAATCGTGAGTGACTGCCCTCCCCGCCGAGCACAGAAGGACTCCTCAACACTGAAGGTGTGCATTGGTTCTGTGGCTGACTTCGTCAGTCTCAGCGGGGCCCCTTTAAAAGACTGCGCTTGGGCCAAGGTTTCAGAAGTCAAAATTAAACGGACGGACGCGCCCGAAAACTGGGAATCCACCGAAACAACTTTGAAAAAATATGGGACATGATGACAAAGGGATGGGATTTCGGGGTGTCTTATTTCACAATCTCCCACTGTGAAAACAAAGTACGGCATGGTACATGTATGTTTTATTTATGGTATAGTAATTGAACCATTTGTATGCTCCAAATGGGGATATTGAAAGATTGAATGGTGTTGGCAGGATTAACCAGCAGAGCAACAGTAACACACTGACACTTCCTAGGGTCCAAAGGTTGGTTTTCCAGGGTCAATGCTGAACGAATCCTGTGACACGCAAAACTGTGGTTTCGTTGCGTTGGATCCCTGACTTTTTGGTCCACCTTCATTCATGTGGTTTGTCTATGTCCCCGTATTATCAGCACTCTTTACAGCGAGGTCCTTGCGAGGTCGCTCGAATTTGCCTCAACAAGGCCATGCCGTGACAGGCGCCTTTTTGCATCATTCGGCTGAGCTGCTGGGAATTCGATCGCGCAGCCAACCACAAAAAGTATTTTGATTGATTTCTTTGTCAGACCATTCCCGCACCATATCCATAGATGTGAAGGCTGGATACAAAATAGTTTGAATTTTATAATGTTTTTATTAAATTATATATATATGCATGTATGTATAGTACTATTAACCCATGCATGTATGTATACATGTTTTGGTATTATACTACCCTGGGCTGCTTAATTAAACCAATGTTCGGTTTGTTGGCATTCACGCCTGTTTCTTGCTCTTGCTAGTTGTCATTTTGGTCCATGCTACCCCAGTGGATCTTGAATGCCATTTAAATGCTTCCATCGCACCACCCGAATGTCCCAGCAAGTCATCTTTCCAGCGCTTGATTACTGCGGGGAAATCAAGCCTGATACCCAAAGACATCAGCGCCACCGAGACAAGTCAAAGTCAAAGTGTGTCATGGAACTGTTGGGCAAAACATGTTCAGACATTTTCAGACATGCTTTGCGAGGTTGTGGTTGCCCCACCAGTCAGTTCGGAAAAGTGAAGGTTTTGGGTTCGTTCTCCATCACATTTGGAAAGACAATCGTGTTTAGCCTAGATTTTGTCATATAATACTAGTAAAGCAACAGGATCCACCATCCCCAAATTACTATTTTAAAGGTTGCTATAAACCATCAATCCATATGGGTGGTTCAGGGCATTGCTTAACTAACAGTAGTCAGGCTAAAGCATTGCTCCTGGAGATGTTTGTTAGGCCACGAAGGTGGCAGCATTGACTTGTACCAGAACTGCCAGTGTGGCAGCTCCCGCTTTTGCGGGCAGCCGTCGTCCGAGAGAGTGTCTTAGATGTCTTAGTGTCTTACTTACAAAAGTTGTGCCTACACAACTAAATAAATAAAGTCAACACATAGCACACATATCTAAATATACATATATACATATTTACATATTTACATATATATATATATATCTATATATATATATATTTATTTAAATATTATATGCATACATATATATATGCAAATAATTATTTCTTCAAATTTGAAATTAAAGTGGGAGGGGCAAACATTCTTGCTGATTAAAGCAAAATCATTCTTCACAGGGCTGATTTACTTCAGAGATACTGAGAGGAAAGGATTGGGTGCACCGTCCATGTCAAAAGTTAAACAGGTTCCGGTGACATTTCTTCAACCATATCTTGGAAATCACGAACAATGGATGGTATGAGCATGTGTGAGCTTGAGGGAACCATCTTTTAAAAAGTGATAACCTTGGGCCAATGAATGTTATACAGTGGCCCCAGACTGAGATGTCTCCAAAACATGGGGACACTTTGAGGTGCCCAGACCTCAAGCTTCTGAAGAGGATTCTGAAGGCAACATGTTGCGGCCCACCCTTGGCATCAGGCAACTTCTTTATGCACAATCAGTGTTCAGGAACGCCTCACCAGGCGCAGGGTTCTTGGGAGTTTCATGCATAATTCATTCTTACCACTCCCTCGGCCAAATTCGCGGATGTGTTTGACACAGCCGCGTGTGGGGCCAACATATCTAAGCCATCAGCTTCGATAATCCGCCAGGCTCGGCGGAACTCACTGGGCCTGCAACTTCCCGAAATGTTGAACTTAGCAATTCAACGTCCAACCACAGGTTTGGATCATCCTCTTGCTCCCTAGAAAACTGCTAGCTATGGGAAAATGCTTTCATCGTGTACGCGTTCTTCTTCGAAGACTAAGCTTAGGTTACCCAATTCCTATTTCAGCATCGCCAAACGCATGCTCTAATATTTCCTACACCGGGACTTCTCCATTGCTATGTTTGCTCACCGGGAGGTCTGGTGCCTTCCCCTCCGAGTAAAATCTCTCAGGCGCATTCGCGTTCAATCGGAGCATGGCGTTGAAAGAGGAGCTGCGGAAACGGAACTTCGAAGAGCCGGTTGTGCTTCCTGAGGGGCGCGGCCAGGTCAACATTGCTCCAATTCCCGAGGTTTCTTAAGTCATGGGGGTACCCCAAATCACCCAGTCATGGATGACAATTTGAGAAACCCATGGTGGCTTGGGGATCCAGCATTTTAAGAAACCTCCATATTTCAAGATCATATATTTGATCACAGCAAGCACCTATCAATTTTGCCAGAAAAACTTCCCTTAAACTTGGGGGCGCAGTTTCACTGGGTATACAGCCACAGTTGTCAAGGCTTGTAGCCATGGTCATGTTCGAAGGAAGTTTAGAAGTCAAACTTCCGGCAATATGGACTGATGGAAAAGCAGAGGTGGGAAGAGTCAGAGAAGAGAAGAGAAGAGAAGAGTTTTGCGTGGCTGGCGCAAGGTTTTTTTGCACCTTGTCAAACGTGAGCAGAATGTGAGAATTTGCAGCAGTTTCAAAAACAATGGCAGGCGTGGGACACTTGAAGAGGAAATGCAAAGATGCATTTTCAGTGGCAGGCACAGTACAAGAGACATGTTCATCAGAGATGTTATATAGGAAGTCCTGGCGCTGATTTCCTGTTGCATTTTGGAGCATCAGATCTTCAGATTTGGGAAGATGATTTTGTGTGACAGGTGCAGCACTTCGTATGACCTGGCATCACTTTTTCGTGGCAGGCGCAATATTTTGGAGACATGGAGTGGAAAAATCGCAAAACGCATTGGCACGAGGCCGTCAGCTTAGGAAGTCTCGCAGAATTGCTTGGTATTTGATGTTAAAATTGAAGAAGTCTCGCAGAATTGCGGCGTTTTCGATGTTGTCAAGCTTTGAAACTGTGAGAAAGTCATGCAGAATAGCTTCGTTTTCAAGCTTGCAGATAGACAGATAGATAAATAGACAACTACAACTACCACTACACTACATTACTACTACAAGTACAAATGCAAATACACGACGCTACATTACACAACACTAATTACACTACACTGCGCTAATTACAACTAATTACACTACACTACTCTAATTGCACTGCAGCACGCTACAGCTACAAATACACATGCAACTACGAGTACACTACGTTACACAACACTACACTACACTACACTAATTACATCACAATACGTTTCCACTACAACTACAACTACAACTGCAACTGCAACTACAACTACAACTACAACAACCACTACATTGCACTACACTACGCTACGCTAATTATATTATACTAAGTACACTACTTTACACTAGACTAGACTACACTAGACTACACTAGACCACGCTACAGCACACAACACTACAATACACCTATAATACACAAAACTAATTACGCCACACCACAGCTACACTACAACTACAGCTGCAACTACACTAACTACACTAACTACACTAACTACACTACATTACAACTACAACATACTACTACAACTCCACTACAACTACAGCTACAACTGCGCTACACCACACTACACCCAGCAGTTGTGGTGAGGTGGCCACTGCAACCATTGCAACCACTCCAAAAAACACAACTCCAACCACCTTTCGGTCCATCAGTGGATTCGCTCTGCCATCCATAAGTCACAACAACCAACCTCTCCTATAGGTTTCATGTGTTTGAAACTTCCGCCACCGCCTTGTGCGGTACTACTAGTATTCCGACTAATAACTCTGACCGTACCCCCCCAAATAGCAAAGCGCCGACAGTGATGTTGGGCATGTCCATGCATTTCCAACATGAGCCACACCCAAAAATTGGTGGCTCTTTGGCTCTAAGGAATTCAATGGCTTAATAGATTCGGACCACCCGTGACAGACAACTCCGACCAGCTTCAAGTTGAGCTTTGTTCGCGAGGTGTCGAAGCGCTGGAACTTCAAGTTTGGCGCACTACTCGAGCCTCTCAAGTTAGTCAAAGGTCCTGAGCACAATGATGGCTGTGGCGGTCCGGCTGCTACGAACACAGGCCAACGTTGAACATACATTGAAGACATGATCTATTGCTTGCGGAACATGTGTGCTGGGCCGTGGATGGCATTTTGCCACGCAACTCCTTCATTTACATGAAATTATAAACGGTAAAATGCGTACAAATACAAAATTTTAACGCCTTTTATCAACCAAACCGGAGCTTGCCCCTGAAAAAGTGTGTGAACTTCCCAACGTCTGATTGTCCAACCTGTTATCAGAGCACTTGATTCACCCTCAAATCTTGGTATTCAAACCCTTCAGAACATTGAGCATCCAACTGGGACCCTTAGTTTCACGGGCTGATTGCCCAGTTTCAAACTAGTCCATCATCGTGATCAATATTTTTTCAACTTGCCCCCCATTTTTGGATACACCCGTTCTGCTTCAACCACTCACCATTGCCACATCAGCCTCAGGCAAGTTCGCCAGGTATCCCTTGGGCGGTAGCCTTGGCTCCTTGACACGTTCCGGAAAGGCGTTCGTCGACGCGCAGGCCGCAGGCAGATCCGCTGGCATGGCGTAGATGCGCCGCACGCGTTCGGCGGTGCCCTGGGTGCCACAGTGCCCGTTGCTGCCGATCCTGGGCAAATCAGAAGGGGGACAGCATGATTTAAACCTTACAGTATATGGTGATTTATGCTGGTTTAAGGTGATTTATGGCGACTTAAATGTTGCATTTTAATGGCAAAACATATGGTTGTTCCAATTTCATTTAGCAAATCCAATCGTCTCCATCTAAAACTGAATGTGTAACGGATGACATGGGAAGACAAACCCAGATGCCCGATGCCCCGTCCATTTTGTATGCAATGTCAGATATATCATTGTATTGTCTCCCTGTTCTAGTGTAAGATAGTTAGTGTGATGGATAGTATATGTAAACATCCCCACTTTAGTCACTTTCAATTTGATGCTGCCCAAGCTTCTTCTTCAGAAGTTTTCCGCCCTGGCGATCCGTGGCCAGGCTTTCCTGCAGGAACCTCCTCACCGCATCGTTGGAGGTCACCATGGCCGGTTTTGTGGGCGACAAGTCCGTGGACCGCCCGGGATGATGACTGGCAGCGGCACATGGACTAAGGGTTCACGGCGGGGTGCAGCCTTCCACACCATAACAACAGAACAACTCAATTTTCAAGGTCGTAAATGGAAATCGTGGGCATGCAGGGAACCCGCGATAGGCTGTTGATGGCATTCCTGTGTGATTGTCAATTGCAATACAGTGCGCTGGTCTGAGGGACACAAAGCTTCTCAGTTTTACTTAATGACTGGAACCAACGACGAGACCAAACTTGATGGCCCAAGACAAGACATTTTCCCGCATTTGGCCGGTCTTTTCAAAGGCTACATGGAACATCAGTTCATCACTCCTGGGTACGTTTCTTCAATTGGGTATCTCCCACTCATCATAATATTTCAGTTTTCAAGCCCAATAATCTCAAACTCTCTTTCTCACCGCTGTCTCGTGTAAGCACGGTGCTAGTGTCGATGGACATGTCGCGTCATTGGCGAAACTTCCACTCACGTCGGCACATTGGACACCTGATTGCGCAAGTAAACTTGGGGAGCAAAGCCAAATGAACAAAACACAAAATTCAAGGGGATTTGTCCCACAAATATCCGGATAATTCTGGGTACACTTCAAAATTGGGACTTAGCAATGATACAATAATGATATCCAGCCAAAGTGGAAGTGTCACCCAAACCTATGATGGCTCGGTCCTCCCATACGTTCCCCTCTTTTGCTCTCCCTCCCAGTTCTTGTCGCAAAGGCCAACCTCTGCATAGGTTCCGAAGCGCGTTCCAGGATGGCGCAGGGCCCCAGGGTCTTTCCTATATCACTGTCCAAGCTGTACCTGTTTGACAGCTTTAATTGGTTACGAATGGCACATGCATGTTGATCCTGTAAGGGTTGTTCTGGCACCTGGCCAGACGAAGCGGAAATCTGAAGGAAACCATTGTCTTTTTCATTCTAAATTTGGGGATTCCCTGCGAATTTTCCCTTGACAAAATTCTGGGACAACACAAGTCTTCCTCACAACCCTCATATGAAAACAAACATTCAAAAGAAAACAAAAAACGGTGTTGGAATATGTTTTTCCTGGTTTCTGATTTCAACCCGCCACCCTAGAAAAAGACGTTGGGGCCATCACCATGCTGCTGTAAATGGAGTGAGGACATAGCAGCGCGTGAGTTCACCAAAGCCAGTCATGCTTTAACACACACACACACACACCTAGAACCGATATAAATAAATAAATATATATATATAAGTACCAACATGTTTTGGTTCAAATTCCCCTAGTTATGGTGAGCAATTCCTCTTCACATGACATAACTTGGGTTGCTGAAACTGGGTCCCTGCACTGCTTCTGCTCCTTCTGCAGCCATTTCCTGGGAGATGGGGCAATGGCAAGCCATCATTCAAACATCGAGAGTAGAGGTTCGAACATGTCACACATTTTTAACATAGTAACAAACCCCAGCAAACCAAACACATCCCAATGTCACAAACCTACATGCATCATTTGACATGGAAACTACATGGCGAAAATGCCAACTCACCAAATTGAAAGATATGACCTGGAAGGGTAAATAAAATATATCTATCTATCCATCCATCCATCCATCCATCCATCTATCTATCTATCCATCAATCCATCCCATGACAATAATTATACCTCGTGGGATTTGAAATCATATGATATGGCGCGATGTAATACGATATGAAATGAGATGAGATGAAGTGATATGAATATGAACATGATATGACGTTTATATTTGCTGATTAAACGCACATATGTGCAGAAACATGTTCACATTTGTACATGTCGTGAATGTGCACAGCTGTCAAGACAAGTCGTGTTCCTAGTCAAAACCAGCATGATATGCCTTTAGCCAAGTTTCATGATGCAATGAATGTGAAAGTGGTGCCCGCAATCTCCTGCCGAAGTCATGCGCGCAACGTAAGCCGTGTCAAACCCCTTCCCTTGGAACTGCCGCGCAGAAGTCATAAATGCCAGTGATAAATGTTGATGATTTTCCGGTTCAAATCACATCACGTCACCTAAGAAAACAACTAGTGAACCTGCACTTGGTTCCCCTCCAGCCCTTGTGAGCATTGGCATCTGCACATTGGATATCAAAAATAATCCCTCCACGTTACCAGTGCAGACAACTGTGGGCGATTCCAGGAGACAAAGCATGACAGTGCCCCCCCACGGCTGACACCAGTCCCCAAACTGGAGGGCAATCATCACCTGCGCAGCGATGACAGGAGTTCAGGCCGCCAAGAGAATGACAATCCAACATGTTTTTTTAAACGGGTGGTTTGTTCAAAACTGGTTGTACAGCTATCGCATGCAAGTGCGTTTGTTTGTGCACCGCGTCCGAGTGACATGACACAAAACACAACACACGGAGGGCAAAACAACATCCGTTTGCCCTCATTCTCTTCACAAACACAATACCGACGATCCCACAGTGTCACAACAAGCAACTGTGGTCATTGCCGCTGTTGGCTCCACCATGTCCCACCCTGTATCAACAGCCTTAGTCAACCACACAGGCAGCCTGGCATCTTGCACTCCGGGCAACAGGCATCGAATGGCATGCCTCAAACGGATTATTTCAGTGGAAAATGCCCCCAAGGCGATTATATTTGTACCGTCGTTGTTTGGTTTCGATCATGCATTTGTGTCTTGTGTGATTGATGTCCAACAAAAAATGCACCCAAAAAACAATGGGCTATGTCTGGGCCGAAAAAACATTAGAACACATTAAATTACTTTACTTCGTGTGATCCCCACCATGACATTTATACATTTTCTTACTGGCAAATCTTCTGGCATTCTATCTGACATATCTTCTGACATTCTATTTGACATTCTATCTGGCATATCTTCTGGCATATGATCTGGCATATCTTCTGGCAAATCTTCTGGCATTCTATCTGGCATTCTATTTGGCATTATATCTGGCATATCTTCTGGCATTCTATCTGACATATCTTCTAGCATTCTATCTGGCATTCTATCTGGCATATCTTCTGGCATATATTCTGACATATTTTCTGGCATTCTATCTGGCATCCTATCTGGCATTCTATTTGGCATTCTATCTGGCATATCTTCTGGCATATCTATCTGGCATATCTTCTGGCATATTTTCTGGCATTCTATCTGGCATATTACCTGGCATTCTATCTGGCATATCTTCTGACATATCTTCTGGCATTCTATCTGGCATTCTATCTGGCATTCTATTTGGCATTCTATCTGGCATATCTTCTGGCATATCTATCTGGCATATCTTCTGGCATATTTTCTGGCATTCTATCTGGCAAATCTTCTGGCATTCTATCTGGCATTCTATCTGGCATATCTTCTGGCATATTACCTGGCATTCTATCTGGCATATCTTCTGGCATTCTAGCTGACATTCTATCTGGCATTCTATCTGGCATACCTTCTGGCATTCTATCTGGCATATCTTCTGGCATATCTATCTGGCATATCTTCTGGCAAATCTTCTGGCAAATCTTCTGGCATATCTTCTGGCATATTATCTGGCATTCTATCTGGCATATCTTCTGGCATATCTTCTGGCATATCTTCTGACATTCTTTCTGACATTCTTTCTAACTTTCTTCTGCACATTCTTTGGCCCATATCTTCCTACATGAGGTCCGGCAGGGAACACTTGGCGTGGATACTCGCGGTTGAGGTCCGGCAGGGAACACTGGGCGTGGATGGTCGTGGTTGAGGTCCGGCAGGGAACACTGGGCGAGGATGGTCGTGGTTGAGGTCCGGCAGGGAACATTAGGCGTGGATGGTCGTGTTTGAGGTCCGGCAGGGAACACTGGGCGTGGATGGTCGTGGTTGAGGTCCGGCAGAGAACACTGTGGATCGCGGGTCGCAGTTGAGCAAGGACGACGAGGACGACGAGGACGACGGAGGACGACGAGGACGACAAGGACGACAAGGAGGACGAGGAGGAGGAGGAGAGGAGGACGAGGCAGGAGGAGGAGGAGGAGGAGGCAACTGACATAAAATCTAACAACCCTCACCTGGCAGGTGGGGAACAAATACTGGTCTGACCAGGTGGGGACCTCAAAAATGCTACGCGTACAAAAATTATTGTACACAATGCATGCACAATACACATCCTGCTTTGGATATCTGACCTATGGTGACAGGTACAAAAGCTACCCAGCAAGGCACACCAAGTCCGCTGTGCCATGCTGCGCCAACCCTCTGAAAAAATGCAATCATGAGTCATTACCAGGTTGCACTGTTGCGCTCCCCCAGTAGCATGGTTGGGCCTACACAATCTCTGCTAATTTTGTCCCAACGAACAAAGGTAAACACCAATACCAACACCAAATTTTGGAACCAAACAAACATGCCAACCGTCCACCAATACATAATAAAACAACAAACCAGGTACCTCATCGCATCCAGGTAGGAAGTGAATATGCAGCGGCCCAACAAACATAACAACCATAATTTGTCTAATCAGATTTGTAAAACAAATAACCATCATAAACCCTCTGGGTTTGGGGTGCGCGGTTGATCCCGGTTGTGACCCAGCCCCAACAAACAAATCAGTTACGCCCATGGTTCCGTAATGTGTCGCCAAGACACGGCAAATAGAGCAACATTCCTCGTCCACCTGATGGGAACATTGGCTCTGCACAGCTTGCAAAATGACTCACAGCTGAGTCTTCATTGTGGTTGTCGTCCCGCTCCGGTCCAAAAATGCCATATCATATTTGACTCACCCAAACATGGCAAATGTTATGTAGCTCCATCCATGCCTGCCTCCCACTGCCAAACAGCAACTGGACGGTAACCTGTCATGGGACAAAAAATCATACAACAGAACCTAACTGCAATGCCAACGGCACAAACACAACCTTGAAGTGTTAGCAAAACGCCTGCTTTTACTATAAGAATCATCTCTTTAATTAGGGTGGTGGATTTTTTACAAATTTTTACATTTTTTGAAATA